TAAGCCACTGGCTGTACTGCCGACCCTGAGGTAAAAATTAAATCCCATTATTCATCCCTCCTTGCAATAGTTGTATTTAAAAAAAAAAAAAAAGGAAATGAGAAAGATGAATTTTCAAGTATAATTCTGAACAATGAGTCTAATGTCCTCTAGTCTTTCATGTCCCCGGGTTCAACCTCTTTTCCTCCTTCATGTTATTTCCCTTCATGTTGTTTGTCATTGTGGAAGACAAGTATCCCCAGGGGAGAAGGGCTCTGCTCATCTGCAGTGTAAATAATATTTTCATCAGTTTGAATATACTAGATATTAGCATAATGTCATCCCTGGGCCAGCGTGGTATCATGCTGGGGCCTTGCAGTTTGGCTGGCAGATAGAGGAGAAATCAGCAACGTGTAGTGTGGGTATATTCTCAGTGAAAATTATTTTATTTTTACATGCACTCCAATTTGGAAAAATTGACGATCACGAACTAGACACAGACCTCTCCTCACTTTCAGGGATTTCAGCCCAAACCCTAGTGCCCAATTACCAGGGGACAATTCTGCCTCAAGAATTTATTCTAGTCAGAAAGACATGAAGGCAGAAAGAAAACTCCCTTTCTGTCAGCCACTGCTCCCCCAAAGAAACTTCAAGAGAGAACCGACAATGCACCATTCTTCCAAAACTAAAAACTTGCTCACACGCTAGTAAAACTGCGTAACAGCACCATCTGGTGAGCCCTGCCATGACAACAGCATTTCACTCACCAGAGTTGGCTGCAGGGATGGCTACAGACACACTGACTTCTTTAAGGTCACTTCCCACCATGAGCACTGGCTCTTCCCTTTAACTCCAGATCAGGGGTAGACCGTCACACAATCTGCCCTGCACCCATCTGCTGGGACCTGAGGGAAGAAAAAGGGAGAACAGGAAAATTTCCACAGCAAAAGAAAAACTTATTTAGAGCTGGTTGTAAAATAACATTACGTGGTAGTAGATGCTAGGGTGACAGGCTGGTGTGATTTGATAGAGGTAGGTCTGAGCTTTGTGTCAGAAGCCTGATCTTTTCTCTTATACTTTTGTACTTATTTGATATGGTGGCACCTAGAATTTGTTTGGTGTTTGGTATGAAAGAAGATTGAAGAACTTAGTAGCACCAGCCTCATTACAAGCTGCAAGTTGCTGAGACTGCAGTCCAAGCATGCTCCATTCCTCATGGTGGTTTGTTGGGCAAACTTGCCACCTGCATAATTCAGCAGAGGTCAGATAAGAGGGACTGAGAAGGGGTGGGGGTGGTAGAACTGTAGTAGACTCTGTTGTTAAATTGTGTGCCTCGTTAGTGTGTTGGTCAGGTTGATATTGGCAGACAGGTTCATCCTGCAATGTGTATTGTGGGCACGAATGCCTTCAAGCTTACCTCTGCTGGAATAAAGGGGGGACCATGAAGCAGGGGGTGCTCTCGCAGTGTCAGAAGCATGAATGAGGCACCTGCAATGCAAAAGGGAGGTGGAACTTACATTCTGCAGCATGAGAAATGAGGAATACAACTGGAATGCGATGGCTTTAAAATATTGGTTTTACGTCCATTTAAATTCATCATCTTCTCCTCCTCCTATCTCATGCAACAGAGTGGCCTAATGATGGCCGAAGGCAGACTTTTAAAATGGCTACTTTTAAACGTTTTGATAGCACTTAGCCTGTTCCTTGATTTCAAGTATCCATAGAAATTACTCGGAACCTACAGTCAGGGATTGTCTACACGGAGCAGCAATGCATACTACAGTGGTGTGATTTCTAAAGTGCACTAATGTACTATGTATTAATTGGTCCAGGTAGACCCTGCAGATGAGTGTTAAAAGTTCCCTAGTGCACTGTAATGAGATGCTGTTTGAAGCAGTACTACTGTTAGCAGAGTCTGAGTGAGCTCTTCCCTGACATCTAGTGATGAGCTGTGGAAGAGGACTTCAGGAGCTGATCTCGTTTGCATGGACACACCCACCCTGCCTAGATGCTCAGCATGATGGGATTGCTTGCCCAAATGATCACTTTTGGATCCCCAGTCTCCTTGTTATTGGGGCAGGAGTAATAAAGGGTTGTTATCCTTGTTGTGTGAATCAAGGGCAGAAGAACTGTACCTGGCATACCCTCAGATAAACTGCACTCGCTAGGCAGGGAACGCGGGTTCCAAAGCCCAGTGAGTTGAGAAAGGGTGGGGACAGGTGGTGTAAGCTCTGTGTAAGGTTCCCAGACACCATTTGACCCTCCCTCTCTCCACTGTGTAATAAAAGAGCTATTTTAGACTAAATTGAGAGTCTTGTTACATGCTGCAGAGCTGAAATTACTGATACCTAGGTCTAAGAATTAGACCTACTTTAGGACAGTGTCTCTGATGCAAGAGACTGCCCAGTGTGCACTAGCAGTGAGGCTCTCCCACTAACAGAAATCACTCAGAGCTGAAATCACTGAGAGCTGTGTTAAGTGGCCACACTGAAGACATCTTGGCGAGCAGCCAGCAGGGCTGCTGGAGGAGAGGCGCAGGCCAGCAGGGCTGCTGGTGGAGAGGCGCAGGCCAGCAGAGTGGCTGATGGAGAGGTGTAGCCAGCGAGGCAGCTGATGGAGAGGCATGATCAGCAGGACGGCTGGTGGAGAGGTGCAGGGAGAGGCGCAGTAAGCAGCCAGTAGGGCGGCTGGCGGAGAGGGCCAGAGCAGAGCCCCGCAAAGAGGCCTGGCGGCGAGCAAGTGCCCGAGCCATGGAGCGTATAAGGTGTCTCTTACCCCCCCCCCCTTCCACCCAGGGTGGGAGGTGAACTCTGCAATGCACCTCTGAACTCTGGGGCTGAACTCTGCAGAGAAGGGAAGGGCGTGGGGGTGGGTTTTTTGCTCATGGTTTATGAACCCTATTTGCAGCGTTTTCCCAAATTAATGCTGAATTACTCCCCTCCTTTTATTAAAAGCTTTTTGCTGCACTCAGACTCTGTGCTTGTGAGAGGAGAAGTATTGCCTCTTAGAGGTGGCCAGGGGTGGTGTGTAATTGTCCCAGGTCACTGGGTGGGGGTTCGAGCCAGTTTTGTGTTGCATCGTTGAAAAGGAACCCCTACATACTGAACTTGGCCCTTGTTGCTGCCAACTCTGACTGGCAGAAGGGTTACATTACAGTGAAGCACACTAGGGCACTTTAATGCACACCAGCAGGGTCTACACAGACCAATTAATGAGCAACATGTTAGTGCACTTTAGAATTTGCACCCCCATAGGACACATTGCTGCCCAGTGTAGACAAGCCGTCAGCCAAACTCCACCATGACTTGCAGTAGCAGAGGCTACTAAATGCCATACATTCCATAAAAGGCCTTGCAATTCTTTGTACTCAGGTTAAAATTAAATTAAACTCCTTACGTTCTTGATAAAGCCAGCAAACTTGGATTAATAAATGACAGAGTCCTCATGAAAATGTTAGAAAATAAGCTATCCCAAACCATTCTTCATATGATTTATATATATTTCTTATACTTCCCGTAATTCTTCCCCACTAATACTTGATGATACCCTTACTATACTGAGGTAAGTGGGACTACTCATAAAATAAAGAACTAAGCATCATGAGTAAGCGTATCAGAATTTGGCCCATTGATATTTATAGATACAAAAATGCAACATACATATTCCTATGCTAGCACTAGGGCCGATAGAAAATTTTCCATTTAAACTGCTTTTCAAGGAAACACAGAGTTTTTACAGATCTTATTTTATTTTGCAAAAAGTGTCTGCTTTCTGTAGAAAATTTTTACTTTTTCCTCAAGAACCTGAATGCCTGAAAATCAAGGTGTTTCAAGGAAAACCTGAAAAATTTAAATTCAGAAATGCTGTTAGTGCCTCACGAGAGTTGTAGTTTGGGTGCCTCATGCCCTTATACGGGCCATGTCCCCAGCTGGACTACATCTCCCATGATGCACCATGGGTAGGGAATCTCATGATGCATCAACAGTGGCTCAGCAAGAGGGTATACCATAGTGAATTATGGGAGATGTAGTCTGGCCGGAGAACCTGTGCCAGAGAATAATGGGGGTATGAGGCACCTGAAATATTAACTCCATAAGGTATTGCAGCAGCATTTCTGAACTGAAATTTTTCAGTTTTCACCTGACAATTTTGGTTTTGGTTTTCCGCCAAAAAAAAATTTTTTCCCTGAAAAATTTCAGCAATTCCCCCTCCTCCCCCCCATAATTGTTAACATTCTTAATGGGGGAAAATATCCATTTTCCAACCAGCTCTATCTAGCAGTGACTTCAACCAACAAAACTATTATGTTTTCTGTTTCTTGCTAATATGTTTTCAATGTTATTACCTAATTTCCTTTCTAACGTTAGGGAAACGACCGTTTCCTATACAACATGGCAACTCTTGGTCAATGCTGACTTTTTAACATCTACCACTGTATTTTAACCTTGGGATAAGTAGAAACATTTGGTGCCAAGATTTTCATTCAAATTCACCTCAGACTATTGAAACTCATGAAAATCTTCCATTCCCCCAAATTTGCGATACCAATACCTCACATTTGTGTAACCTGTATTTATGCTGTAGCATGATTATTTGTCTATTACTTTCCTTAACATCTCATGTTCTCAAATAAGTGACCATGCTGATCCTATGTTAACACTTATTGAAGAGAGGTTTAAAAAGTCACAATTATTCGTTGCATCTTACATGAAAATTACAGGAGACACTCGATTTATGACTGCTTACAACAATCTGTAACCCACTAACCCCCTCTTTTTGTCCTATGACTGCAGAGGTATTAATGGGCCAATCTACTTTAAATGGTCCCTTAGAATATATGCTAACTACTTACGTTAAACAATCCATTCCACCTTGCATTTATCTGTGACACTCGGAGTACTTTTCCGAGACCTGAAGAAGAGCTCTGTGGAGGGGATGGTATGATGGGATAGCCTAATTTTGGCAATTAATTTATCTTTTACTATTAGTGGTAAATATGTCCAATGGCCTGTGATGAGATGTTAGATGGGGTGGGATCTGAGTTACTACAGAGAATTCTTTCCTGAGTGTCTGGCTGGTGAGTCTTGCCCACATGCTCAGGGTTTAGCTGATTGCCATATTTGGGGTCAGGAAGGAATTTTCCTCCAGGGCAGATTGGCAGAGGCCTTGGGGTTTTTTTGCCTTCCTCTGTAGCGTGAGGCACAAGTCACTTGCTGGAGGATTCTCTGCACCTTGAGGACTTCAATAGCTCAGACATAGGTTAGGGGTTTGTTACAGGAGTGGGTGGGTGAGATTCTGTGGCTGGCGTTGTGCAGGAGGTCAGACTAGACAATCATAATGATCCCTTCTGACCTTAAAGTCTATGATTCTATGATTCTCAAAAGCTTGTCTCTCTCACCAACAGATGCTGGTCCAGTAAAAGATATTACCTCACCCATCTTGTCTCTCTAATTATCACTTTTAACAGTGGTAGTATTGTTGCACTATGGATCAGAGATATGTTTTTTATAAGAAATTGAACTTTTATGCTTGAGTAAGTAACAACCTCACTGGTATAAAGCACGAGGCACTTTGAACTGAAAAAAACCAATCCAACACCTCTCGACATATATTGAAGACAAAGAAAGCTTTAGTAGTTATTGCTGCTGTGTTGTATAAATCAATGTTTATGGCAATCTTTGAGTTCCTCTGCAAAAGGCACATTGACATTAGGTTGCTGCTGAATGAAAAATCATTTTTAGCACCAAAGTATTAAGAATAGGAAAATAGGGACAGCTCATGGTGTCTCCAAGGTGTTCAAAGGGTACCTAGCCTACCCTATACTCCAGGGAGGTTTCTTACACTGAAGTTCCTTTTGATTTCACATGAGCACCAAGTAATTAAATGAACACATCTCCTTTCGTGGCTTGGCTCTGCAGTTCAGCCTCATTTATTATTTCTCACTCAGCTCCCTTCATGTTGGTCCGTTACTCAGGTACAGGTTACTGTCATAGCTGTTCATTATATTTCTCTCTCCACCCCGGCGGCACACGAAAGCTAAAACTACCACTGCTAATAATAACAAAACACGGTCCCCTTTCACACGCAGTCTCACCGAAAGGCTCTGACTCACAGGAATAACAAAGCAGAACGTGTGACAGGAAGTTATACTACGTTAATTTAAAATAAAATACACTCAGCTATCATATGCAATCTCAACTCAGCTAACAAAAGCCAAACAATTCTAAATTAAGGCTTTTTGCCTTGACATTGCAGTACATCACTTCTTTTCGGATCACACCATTAGCGGACAGGCACCAAAGTGCATTTGGGTGGGCACTGCGACCTGATCTTGGAAAATTCTCACTTTTTTTGGAGGTTAAGGCAGGGATCTTTTAAAGGGCATTAAGGAAATTAAGTGCCCAAGTCTCATCAAATTTCCATGGGAGCTGGGCACTAACTCTCTGCTAATCCCAACCTCAAGGACTAACTTTTTAATTGGCTTTTTCCATTTGCTCTTGTCATTTTTACTAATATTAAAATGATCTCAGATGGGAGGCTCAGAGTTGGCTGATTTTTTAAAATGTTATCACATGTTTTAAATGGATTAACGGCCTGGTCCAAAGCCCTCGGAGTCAACGGAAAAAGGCTCCCACTGACGTCAGTGGTCTTTGGATCAGTCTCTTATTGTGTTAATAAAAGGTGGCATATTGACCACTCTGAAAATGAAATTCCATGATTTATCCACCCAACAAGCGTAGCACAGGTAATGGTTTATTCAATCTCTGGGTTCTGCTGAGCACTCCAGTTAGTGCCAGGTGGGGAATTTATTGTTCTCATCACTAGCCTATGCCCCTTCCCTCAGTCTTCCCTTCTATTTACCATATATAGTTTCTATAAATGTTTTTAACAGACTTTTACCGGTTTTCTTTTCCTAAAGCCACAGACAATCAGGCTCAGTGTTTCAGACAAACTGTTACACTTGCATGAGAAGCAAATGAAGCTGTTAAAAGCCGAGTGTTTGTGGGGGCGGGAAGGGGGAGAGCGAAGTCTAGTATCACTGAAAAGACTTCCTTTCAGGAGGTTGCCTATAAAACCCTCTTACATTGGATTATTAGCTCTGTTATGGGCACTGAGTTTTATTAAGTGTTGTGTACAAAGGGACACATCATGCAGCAAAGTAAGGGGAAATACTCATTGACTCCATAAAGCTTAAAGACAAATTATGCAAGCACATTCCAAAAGGCTGGTTTATGAGCTCATTGACAAACACATGTTAATACCAAGGCCCAGATGATTACCAGCTTTTCCAGTAGCTGGAATGGCGGCGGCAAAGCAAAGCTTATGCACAGATTACCAATAGGGGATGATATCTGGAAAATAAAACATTCTGTACAAACCCACCGAGTAACTAAAGTGATATTTTACACATTAATATATTTTGAGTACATCCAGAGGTGCAAGTGAATTTAAAGTGATAATCAGGGTAGGAAGGTAGCTTCATTTCCCGTGCTGCTTTGGTAATTGTCTAGATCTTTTTTATAGTTTTATAACATGCAGCTGGTAAGAAAATAGGGGAGCTTTCCATGGAAAATTTCAACAAAACAAAAGGATCGAAATTCTGACTTTCTGGTGAAAAATCAAAAACTGAAATATTTCTATTTGGAAATGCTCCTGCAATGCCTCATGGGAGCTGTAATTCGGGTGCCTGATGTTCCCTAAGATCAGGCTCCCTGGTCAGACGATACCTCCCATGCTGTAACACAGCCTCTCTTCCTGATGAGGGGAAGCTGTGGATCATGGGAGTTCCAGGCTGTGGTGCACCACGAGTAGGGCCGGCTCCAGGCACCAGCCCACCAAGCTTGTGCTTGGGGCGGCACCTGGAGGGGGGCGGTGCAGTGCTCCGGCTCCGGATGCCGGGGAGAGCGGAGCCCCGGCCGGGCTCTCCGCCCTCCTCCAGGGGCTCCGGCCGGTTGGGAAGAGCGGCCCGCGGCCAGGCTCAGCGCCCTCCCCTGCTGTGCGGGTGGGGAGACTGGCTGAGGAACCTGGCCCCTAACTGGACATGAGGGAACTCAGCTACGCTCCCCTGATGCACAGTAGTTGCATATCCCAATCAAAACATTATGGGTTTTGGGTCTTCAGTCTTGAATGAAAAAATCAGCATTTTCTGTAGAAAGCAAACACGGCGTGAAAAACTTCATTCACTTGAAGACCCCATTTTCTGTCTAAAACAGTTGTGGCAGAATATTTTCAAGCAGCCCTACCTATACTACTCACAAATTAGTGATCTGCCTTCAGCATGTGGTTCTTTCTGTCACCCTTACCAGCTACAGACAACTCCTCCATGGGACAAATTGCAACACATACGCTCTGTGCAGGGGCACTTTAAAAAAAAAAATCCATCAATCATACTTACTTTGTTCTGGCAGCTGAATTTCTCTCGTCAGCCTTTGCGCGATGAGATGGACTCACTCAGCTTCCTCAGCAGAAGGCTACGTTCATACCAAGCCCGTTGATCACAGACTCCGCTCCATTTCGTTTTGCAGTTTGCGTCAAGACAAGAGACAGGTGAATATTTGTCGGCCTTGCTAAAAAAGAGGGTGAGATTTGGATTTTAAAGCCCCTCTGAGCAGTTTCCATTTTGTTTTGGTTTTTTCCTCACTCCAATATCGCACTTAGAAATTCAGCCTTCTTCTTCAGCCCCGAAGGACCGTGCAGCAAGATGGCGTGGTAGAAGCTGATTCCATGACCAGCAATGAACACCTGAAGTGGCAACTAGAGCGTGACACTATCGTACTGTCAAAGAATCTAGTAAATCCCCCGAGAGGGAGATGCTGTTGACTCATTTCCCTATGAAATCTGCCTTATTTCAGCTCTCCCTACTCTGAAAGAAAGTCTTCAGTGCTTTTTTCTTCAAGGCGCTCTTTCGACCAATTGCTATTGGGCCTGTACTTGTCAGTAGAGCTGAGCAACATTTGTTTTGGCAAATGGTGGACTTGCCAAAAAATGCATTTTTCAGGGCATCAAATTTATGTGAACTCAGGTTGGATTTGGAGAATTGTTTTGACTGGGAGAAAAAAAAAACCCGAAAACAAAAATTTCAGAAGTGTCGAATAGTAATTATATGATTCAAGTATGTTCCTGAGTTGGGCCCATACGTGTTTATTTTTATTTAGCTGCACATTGCTCATAGCACGTGGGTGGGGAGTGGGGGAAATGCAGGTTACTAAAACAATCATGATTTTGTATCTGTTTTTCCAGTGATTTTCAGGCCAATTTCTCAGTGCCATAGGGATGCCATTGATAATATAGGCTGGTCTATCATCATTCTTGGGCAATCTCCTCCAGTGACTATTTTATACATTCAACTGGGTGCTTGTTAAAACTTATTTTTGCTTATGTGGTGTGGATGACTCGTGAAAATGATGTATACCTGTTTAAAAAACTGTGGGGGGGGGGAGATTATCATTTCAGCTGACGCTGGAAGAAAGCAAGTCTGATTGTTTTGTTATGTATTGCTTGGTTACTTATTGAGCACGCTTGGCATTGTACACAATATAGAGGAACTTACGTACTGAAGGAGACAGACAATCAGGAAATTTCAGCCCCCTCATTTGGAAGTTTCTATTCCT